TACCAAAGATAATATCATACCTTAGCTTTATTACTTTGAATCTCTCTCTTAAGAAATAGGTGTCCGTTAATCTCAAGGTTTCTTCTTCACACGTTTCACTCAATACATTTTCTTGGTCTTGTGCCAGGTATATACTTCTTCCTTAGATTTCCTTGCTTTTAATTCTAAGTCAGTTGGTAATTTCAATTGAGATGTAATTTCCTGTAGAACCACAATTTACAAGCACTCGACATGGTTGTACTCTTAATAGTCCCGTTAGATGCACCAGTTAACTCTTTTTATAGTCGTTCAAGGTTATGATATTTGTCTTTGAGAGACAATAGCTACATCCATTATTAGACCCTAGTGCCTTTATTGGAGAGCTCCATTTTTTTACTTTGACTCATTATCGACTTGATGATTTTTGAGACTATGAACTTGCCTTGTCTTGCTGGTACTTGCACTTTGATATTGTAGACAACCTCCAATCTGATGGCCTGACTCTAGACAATAGAAATACAATCTTTTTTGCACCAATATTTGTCGTCTTTGTAGTGTCAATGATCCTTGTAAGGCATCAATCTCTATTGGCATTGGTTGTTGTAGCATAATATTATATAGCAATATAGGACTTCATGCTATAAGTCAGGCTCTATAATTTCTGAAATCTATAGCATCAACACTCTCTGCAATCCGAATTGCCTCTTCAAATATTTGTGGATCCCTTAGCTCCACGTCTTGTTGGACTCTAGATTTTAAACCTCGTAAGAATCAATCCATCATCTTTGCCTCCAAAATATTACCAATTTGGAGACATAAAGACTTGAATTGAGAGACATAATCTTACATCGACGTAGCTTGTGTAAGATTTTTCAAGTAATCATATGCTATCTTTTTCGCATTGGTGGACCGAAATTGATTCCTAAATTCAATCTCAAACTCCTCTCAGTTACAAAATCCACCTTGAGCTCCATAACTTTGAACTCGATGTTGCTACCAAATAGCTGCTGCATCTCTCAAATAGTTGGCTGCATATATAATTCCTTTAGTGGTATTTGCTCCAAATAGGTGGAGGTATTGTTGCATATTAAAGAGCCATTGACATACATCTTCTTGTCTTGAAGTTCCATAATATGTACTAGGCTTACTCAATTTCAACCTAGCAGATGTTGACTCTCTTGTCCTCAAGGCTTCTATTTGTCCTTGCAAAGTAGCTATCTAACCTAAAAGGTGTTGTATTTGAACCTCCATCTGTGATTACTCTGCAATATCTCCCATATTATAATTTTTGTACTGGATTCTTTTATTGTAATGCCTTCTCATCTTATGATTGACTTTTTAAGAGTAGCTTATGATAGCCTCAACACAGTACTTAATGTCACCACAACAACCAACCTTGGATCAAATGATGATTATTCACATGCTATCAAAAATAAATAGTCTAACACTTATTCTGATAACAATAAAATAGGACTAGACTAACTCAAAAATCTGAGATTGTTCCAATTTAGAATAATATAAGGCCTCTTTACAAAATAAGATAAAATAGACTAGAATAAAATTAAATAAAACTAAAAAAAATAGGACATGAAAGACAAAACTGAGCAAATGAAAAGAAAATAGAACATATCTGAATAAAAAGATGCAGAACCAAATTTTACTAAGAAAAAAGATCAAAAGCTATACATAATCAAATGCCCTAAAAGGCCCTGACCAATCTTATTTATATCTTATCCTATTACCTTAGACTTTCTAGAATGTTCTTAGGTATTAGGCCTTATCTAATTAACTACCTTAAACTTCTTTTTTAGAAGGTTCTATGGTTAACCGCCCTAAGCTTTCTTTTAGAAAGTTCTATGGTAGGCCCTATCTAAAAAACCGCCCTAAACCCTTTCTAAAATATTCTACGGTAGATCCTACGTGGTCCACTAACCTAACCTCAAATCTAAAAACTTCCATGGTTCTAATTATCTATATAATTATCTTATCTATACCCTGTTATAACAAGTACATGAAATAATAGATGCTTATTTTTGGAAATTTTTTGATAAAAATAAGTTAAATATCTTGTAATTTATTTTTATAATATTCTTTTAGTTAAGAATTGTTTTTGAAGCAATAGAGCATATAATTACCATCACTATATGATCAATAAGATGCATGATAGTTGAACTTCTTTCAAAATAATATTTTTTCTTTAAAGAGCATAGTTAATTAATTGGCTTAGATCATTGAGGTTTTAAACACATAAATTTATGAAAGAATAAAATACATGAATCTATTGTATATGGAATTAAAAAAAAATTGCAAATCAAAACTTACTTGAGGCACAAAGGTTTTTACAAATACATGGTATTAGAAATAATTGACTTGGTTTTAAGACTTTTAATGTGCTCTTTGAATTTCTAATGTAATTCTTTAAAAAAGTATACACATTTTATCTTATATCAAATTGAATAAAAAATAATTAAAAAAATCTAAAGCTTTGGCTTGAAAAGATATTACAAATAAAATAATAATAGTAAAGAATATTGCTTGTTTCTTTTACATCAAAGGAGATAAAAGAATTGTTTGATAATAGAACAATAAAATACAATGTGAAAAATGAAATGAAAAAGTATTTAAGAATATTAAAAAAAATAAATTATCTAAGACATGAATGAATTGGATCACTATTATAAATAAAAATTAATCAAGAACAAACCGTAATCCTAAAACCTAAATCATAAATTCTTGCTTATTTTAGAATAAATAAGATGCAAATTGGATAAACAAAGCACATGAAATATTAATATCATAAAATGGATTGCATACTAATAGAATAAAAAAACTAAATATTAATTAATAAAAGAATTATAAAATGGATAAAAATTATATATATATATATATATATATATATATATTAAAGAAATAATTTTAGAAGATTTTAAAGAATAAAAAATACATTTTAAAATTTATAGTTTAAAAGTGGAAGAATATCAACCTTTTCAACTATAAAGAAGTTGAGGAAATTCCACCAACTACTATGTAAGTAAAGTATTAATTTATGCACTTGTTATATGTATGTATTTTCTTGAATATCATAATTATTATAAATAAAATTTTATAAAATTTATTACTTATTGTGAGGGAATTTTCATAAATAAATTGTAAAAAAATAAGATATATTACAATAATTAAATAAGAAAATTTAACTTTGAAAATCTAAAATTTGCTTAAAAAATCTAGTGAGTAAAATTATATATATATATATATATATATATGTATATGTGTGTGTGTGTGTGTGTGTGATGTAAGGAATTGTGTAAGAAAAAAAAATTAATAATTATTAGAAAAAAAATTTAAAAATAGATTTAGTGAATGATATTCTGTTTTAGATTAAATATTAGAATTAAATGATTTCATATACTTATATGAAATAATAATCTTACAAATTGATTAAAGTTAATTTTTTTAATTATGTTAAATTATTATTATTCTTACTTATAATACTAAATAAATTAATTTTATACTTTTTATTTAAGTATTTACAGTATATTCTATTTTTTTCCATTGACTATGTGTTTTTTATTAAACCTTATTCTGTTTTTGAACTTTCAAAGTAAAGAAAGATCAATCATTCAATAGAAAGATTTACAATCTTTGTATTAATAGAACATTGTCTTCTTGATTCAAAACCCTAGATTAAAACCCTTATGCCTTAAAGTTAATAAATTAGAAGTATGCAATAAAATAAAATTATACATATGAAATGTAATGATATTTTATAATAAATTAAAAATAATAATTGAAATAAATTTTATAATTTTTATTAGACTTTAGTAAAAATAAAAATTTGATAGTTTAGAAATTTTCTTATCAAAGTTCTATGTCATTAATTATTTTGATTTATTCTCTCTTTTTTAATTTTTTTTTTTTTATATGTCATCAAATATGTCATCATTTTAAATTTTAGATGTCAAAGTATAAAAATTAAATAGCATCTATATTATTTTAAAACTTGGATTTTAATTTGATTCTAAAGAAGTATATATATATATATATATATATATATATATTTTTTAAATGTGCTATTAAAATTAAAATTAGTCTTTAAAATATTTTTTATAAGCTTTAGAATTTTGGCCTTAAAATAGTACCTAGGTTATAACCTATGTCAAACTTGTGGTAAACTTTGTTCTAAGAGAATTATGACTATACCTTATAAAAAAATAATTTTTTAATTTACTTTAATTAGAGAAACATTTGATCTTATTATATTTCAAGGGAGGCCTCTTGAAATGTGAACAATGAGGTGATTATTGAAGTTTTATTAATTTGCCAATATTATGCTTAATAACCTCTTTCTCAAATAAGATACATAAATATCTTTATTGAAATCAAACAGTGTCTTAAACAAGTGTTTTTGTTTCGTCTTTGTGTACTAGATTGCTTGCCATTACATATCCATTTTTGTCATTCAAAACCTTAAAATCTTTCTTGTACACTCTAACTTTTTGGATATGTTTGAGTAGTTATGAAACTTCTATGCTTTTATTCTGAGTTCAATTCTTCACCTTTCACACTACCACTTTTGTTTTTTTGTTGCTAATTTGTCATACACAATCCCACTTTTTTTCCTCTATAGGCAACAAAGCCATTCTCAATAACTTAAATGATTTTATAACACCATGAATAAATTAATGAGAATATTAAGTAAACCAATGTTATTATTAAATAGACCCACCCTTGATGAAAAATATAGTTATCATGATGAATATGATTGGTTTTTATTGGTTGCAGATCCAATAGTAGAGAAATGAATCTAGAGGTCATTTTCACTTTTTTAAGATGATTAGAATGGGTGGGTCGATTTAGTAAAAACTTTGGTCTATTTAACATTCCTCTTAAGAGGAGCACGTTTTATTCACTTTTTTTTTACAAAAATTACAACATACAATCAATGCAATCGAATGGTTTAGGGTTCCGTCAGGCTCTCTCTCATTATTAGAGAGGACTATGATGCGAAAGCAATCCAAATCATCAGGGCAAAAGACTGCTTTGATTGATTGATTCTTACGTATTAATTAGTTGCTTTACATACAATTATGATTCATGGAGCTGAATTTACACGGCGCCTCTAACGCCTCGTGCCGACTGAAAGGAACGCGAGTTGAAGCGCGAGGAATCATGCGGTCGACATCGCAAACTTGAAGAATCTCATCCCTACTCGTCTCAAATCACACCCCGGACCAGCAGCAAAATTGGGTGCGTCGCTTGTGACCGATTCAGTGATAAGAGGTGGCGATGGCGGCATCAGAATGAGGAGCTACCGCAGTATGAGGCTGATCTTCTTACGACTTGGGTGCGAGAAATCCAGTGAACTTGCCAAGGATTCCAGGTGAAGACTCACTGTGCCCTGTGGCAGGAATTGTTGATGAGGTTACCAGCCACCCAAGAGCTTCAGTGATCTTCTCGCTGAGCGCTTTGTCCTCCTCCTTCGACACTGGAACATCGGCGCCGATGACATTCACATGGTTTGCACAACCTTTGGAGGTGTCGATGGGCGCGAGAGTGTTATCTGCAGTTTCTTCCTTTCGGGTTGTGTCAGCATTGTTTGTTGAACTCTTGGTGGTGTCTGTTTCAGATGTGATGGAATCCCTGGTGGTGTCGACCGCAGATCCCTCCGTGTCCTTGGTCTTGTCCACCTCGGAATGCCCCTCGGATGGCTGGTTCATGCCCCACTTGTCGGTAACCGTGTCCTTCGTCGCGATTGCAGCAGCATTGGTCGCCTTGTCCGTGTAAGTTTCTGAGTCCCCAGTGGCATTGTTCAAATCATCCGCCTTCGATCGAGCAGCATCTCTCATCTCATATGCCGGAGCTGTTCCAGTGCCTAACACAACAAAGCTTAATATGCATTTCCTGGCACGAACAATGCTTACAAATATTCGCATTGCAGATGTTATTGTGTGGATACTGCTCGAAAAAAATTAGTGCGAAATTTACTCACTTGTGCTTGAATGAGGACCCGGCGAAGAGCGGGGCTCGGTACAGAGGGTCTCCGCGGTTGCATCATTGCCACTTGCTGCGTAGTCATCTGCTGTGCCATTGCTGATTGAATCCTTGGCCTTGTCCACCACGGAAGGCTCCTCGGATTGTAGGTTCGTTACAAATGTGTCTTTGGCAGCGTCTTTTGAACCTAAGGCGGCTCCACTCTCCTGCTCCGTGTCCATCGCTGCGTCACCGTTGGCATTACTCACATCCTTCACCTTTGACTGTGCAGTATCCCTGGTCTCGAACGCTGCATCTGTGGCGCTGTGAGGCCCCCAAGATATAGCCTTCTTCGATTGATCGTTAACTTCGCTGTTTTCCGTATCAGTGCCCTGAGTAAGTGCTGCAGCATCATATCCCCTTCTTCCAGAGTTTGGGGAAACCCCTGACAATTCCTCCGCTGCAGATGGCTCATGTGTGGTAGATTTCGTCTCGGGCGCAATATTTTGCGTCTCGCTGATACTGAGTCTGCTCATGACGGAAGCTGAGTCAGTATCTCTCTTATCTGTATCTTCGGATTTACGAGGCTTAGGACTCGGATACGTTCCAAACACACGAGGCACCGATGTAGGGCCCGAATATGGAGTGACCTTAATGGCAGGGGAGGTAGGCGACGACAAACCAGCCTGCAACACCAATTACAATGTTCAACGGTGCAATCCAACAACTATAAACTTCAAACTCGTATATTGATTTCCGCAAAACAACTGGTGAGAACAACCAAACTCGCTCCCAAGAAACTGTAGACATACATTACTGGAGCTGGTGGAGCTTGTGGCATCGCCCTCTTCTTCACCCTGATCATCATCATCGACGACGATAGTGGAGCCATCACCGTTGCTCCAACTCTTACCAACATTATGCTTTATTTTAGACCCAGCCTTCTTCGTCTTGTCCTTGAATTTCCCGAAGATCGATGACCTCTTGTGACCATGATGATCGACATGGTCGCGACACTGATCTTCCGAAGTCAAATCAGTATGCTCTTCACCTGATAAATCTTTCACGAATCAATTTTTTCCGACTTCCAACCAGTCCAAGGCTTCGAAACTCGACAAAAAAAAAAAAAAAAAAAAAAATCTCATAAAAAAAAGAGAATCCAATTCGGCTCAACTCCCCCTCTAATCAAAATGCCAGAACACCATCAACAAAAGATCTAGTCTCTCACCTGGAGGGGAAGCAAGCTGATCGAAGCCATACCCTTGCAAAGGCTGCGCCATCTTGCGAGTCTGCACACTAGACCACACTGTCCTCCTCAACGCCGATCGAACTTTTCTCGACTCTCTAACCCAATGGGCACCGACAAAAGACAGAAAGAAAGATAAAAATAAATAAATAAATAAATTATAGTTCAGGTGGCACAAAAGCAAGAGAATGAGGACCCCCAATTAGTGTGTGGCAGGGAAGATCTATAATGAGATTAGCTCCGAAGAAGAAGAAGAATGTGACATAGTGTGAAGCTCTGGTGAAAGCCGAGGAATTCAGAAAATGGAGGATTCTGTAGAGAGGAGGACACGGTTATAAGGCCTGGTTTTGTGTAGATGAAGGGGCTTAGTTTTGCATGAACAGTGGACGTGGCAGCATGGATGGGATTAGGGGAGGCCACCGGCACTTGGCGGTGAGCATCCGGGCTGAGCCGGTGTTGATATTTTTGATTCGAGATTGTGCCCTTTAATCCGAGATATGTAAGATTCCAATCATGCCTATTCATCCGCTTCCACTTGTACTAACGTGGCAAATTTTCAACTTCTCTAAAACAAACCTACTTTTTTTTTATAAACAATACTAATAATAATACTTAATTGGTATGAAATTTACCTCTCTTTAAGGTATTCAAAATTTCTTTAATGATAATTTACCGATTGAAGGAACTATTCTTGTTTAATTTTTTTTCAAATGAAATTTAAATTCTAAAGAAATGCATACTTATTTAAGTTTGATATATCATGCACATTATAATTACAAAGCCACGTGTGAAGTTTTGTACATGGCATACATAATTATATCATCATCTATTATTAAAACTTAAAACTTAATTGGTATAAATATGTAGTTTCAAATCTTGATTTTAAAAAGATTGATTTGTATAGAACTTCATAAATATTTTGTAGAAAATACTAGTGACTATGAAAGTATAGAAAAAGTCACAATAGAACCAAATAAATTTATTAAGCATGATATTCAGGTGGTGTTGGTCATGTTTTCTTTACCACTATAGTGAAATCCTACAAAAGCCTTGTAGTTTCTTACTATGTCTATATTTCTACAATTCTCTCTTTTTGCAGCCATATTATTTTTATAATAATGTTTACTTTTAGTAGTTAAGTGGATAATTTTCTTAGCATGATAAATTTTACAACAAAATAAAAAGAAGAATTGGATAATTTTATCCAATTTTTGCATATTCCAATGAATTCCTACAAAAGGATTATTACAATACTAATTTTGAACTACTTTTAAAGACTGTCAATAAACCTCTATTTGATATAGTCTCCAATAAGTTTTGTATATATATATATATATATATATATATCACTAGAAATACGTAATAAAATTAACTTTTACACAAAAAAACTTTAAAATGTAATCTTAAAGATTTTATTTTTTATTTTTTTATAAAGCTTATAAAAAGCCAACTCATTTTTTAAAAAAATTAAAAATACATGCTTTTAAATTATTCCTTTTTATATTTCATAAATTTTTAATTCAATACTATCCTTAAAATGTATATATATATATATATACATCTATATATTATTAAACTGGTATTAAATTGTGTATCTAAAGTTCTTAACTTAACTTACAATCACCATCCTTAGAAAATGTAAATTTTACAAAAATATTTATTAACTAAGTTATAAACTATTTGGATCTTTGAAATCCTAGATTGTATATTGGCCTTAAAATAGGCAAAGATAAAAACACTCAATTATACTTTTTGATATATAAATAACCATAGTTTTTTTTTAATATTGTTAATTATAAAAAATTGGTTAATTATCGTTTTTTATAATTTTAGTAATATGTACAAAGATTACTAAATTAAATAGTATTCTATTTTGAAAATATTATAGAAATAATTAATTTTATGCCAAAAAAACATGGCTTAAAAATAAAAATAAAAACACTAATATTTTGATGAACAAAAATAAAAGAATGTATATGTATATATATATATACATTTACAACTATAACAGAATATAATAGAATATACTATATATAATATACATTTACTTTGCACTTACTTTGTCTTTCTTTAACTACTAGTACAATAATTGATATGGGAAATATGAAAGAACTAGTAGTAATTATTGATTTTTGGTAATTACAAAAAAAAAATCTCTTGATAATACTTTATATAAATTGTAATATATTATATTATGATAATATTATTTAAAACATCCTTAAGTATTTTTTCTAACTACTAACTTGTTTTTACTATGAACATTTAGTAAACTATATTGATGGAATTTTTTGGACTCATCTCTGCCAAAATGATCTTAAATAAGTAAATGTATTAGATAATATTAATATGTATATATTAGAAAAAATTCATGAAATAAGATGTATGTTGTGTTATGTAAATTAAATAATATTTTCGACCTATTAATGAAATATGATCAGTTAGTAAGAAATTAGAAATACTTTTATTTATTAAAATCATGAAGATTACTTAGTTATAAATAAAGTAATTGCCAATTACTTCTTAAATTCCGTGTATTAGTTTGAGATTGTTATTCTTTTAAAGAGTTTCTTCTGTTACACCAATGATTGGTTCTATTAAAATTTTAAAATAAGATTGTTTCTTTTTTCAAAAAAAAAATATTATTGAAACATCGGATTAACATAGAATATCTTTTAACATTCTAATAACAATTTAGAGGGTAAAATCTATTTTCATCATAAATATTCCTAACTTATTCACATTCTTGCAGAGCTTCCACCTCTATAATTTAAAAAAATTAAATTATTATGTCATTAAAATATGAGATTGTCCTGTCTATTTCTTTGTAAAAAAAAAGCACCACTTTGGTCGTATTTTAGTCCTCAATCTAAAATAAAATTGCGTAAGAAGTATTAAAATATCCAATCTGTTTATAAATTTTTTCAAATTAAGTTTTTTTTTTCTATTAAAAACAATATCAACATATGTTTGATAGATCCACCTCATACAGTAATTAGTGGCCTTATGTTAGTTCTACTTATGTAATTATAGTTATGTAATCTCTCCTTAATAATGAATTTGATAATATAAAACAATATATTATTCAAAATTATTGTTGTATAAACAACATAACAATATTATAGTACTATATCTTTAAGTTTCTTGGTTCTTACCAAAAATAATTAAAATTGGTCAACCATCATCTTACATCCAAGTTAAAAATATTAAAAAAATCACACAAAAAATATTGAGAAAATAAAATATATGTATAATAATTTAGAGAATTTTTTTTTGTGTTGAGTATAAACAAGCACAGAATAAAAATTAAACAACGTATGTCTAGCATTGTGGATTCTCATTTTATGATCTCTCCTATTCCAATTTTCAAGACTACATTATACAACACAACTTATTTGTTAGCATAGAAGCATGAATTCACTTGTGTTATTTTTTTTACTTACTTATTTATCTTTTATTTTTTACCTTTTCTAAAAGTTAGAACAATAAGTTATCATATTTGGATTACACCAAATATGTTTGACTTTTTAATTATAAGAATAGTAATAATCATTTAACCAATTTAAGTCTCTTTCATCACCATTATATTATTAACATGTGTCTCAATTCTTGACATGGTTCTTTTAAGTTATTTATAGTGTTTCTTCAACAAACCCAAAGCCTTGAAACCACCTTTAATTTTATTACTTACTCAAAGTACATACTGTTGAATTTAATCAGTTGATGAAAATCCTAAGCTATGTACAGAAACACATTTCTACTGTAAACATTATTGAAGACTAATTCTTGACCTTTATTAATTTTTTTTGAACAATAGATAACCCCCATCCTCTCCCTTTCTTCCATTTTTTTTTTTTTTTTTCTTCTTCTCATGTAAAACTCATCTAGACTTAGTAGAACCATATTATAATCCATTACTTTATAGCCACAGGCAGTGACAGAAAAAATGATTGTATAAATATAAATATATATATATATATATATATTAAACTTGAAAATCCAATTGGGAGAGTTTATGGGACAAAGCCTCATCGTTTAAAAAACTAATCGTTCTAATTTGGAATGTGTAACAAAAGGGTATTATGGTCAACTTTAGAGAAAACTGATCTGTCCTACAACTTGCAGTTATTTTTGCTTATGTTGCATACAAATAAATAAATTATTCACTATCTTTCATCAATTTTTGTTTTTGTTTAAATTTCAATATAATTTAGAACTAGTACATCACCTTCTTTAATATAATCAATTCCAATCGCTCTTTTAAAACCCTACAAAAACCTCCAGATTTCAATCTGAGAACAAAATCATAGGTACAATGTGGTACATCCTCACATTAATAATCCCACACCGATTCAAACTAGAGAAGGAAAATTCAAAAAAACACCCTCCAAAACGCATTATATATATATATATATATATATATATATATGGAAATGTTTATCCCAAGCTTCTACTAAATTGACCCTCCTATTGTGAAGAAAAAATAAAAATGACCACTAGATTCAAAACCAATAAAAACCAACCACATTCATCATGATTATCATAGTCTTCATCATGAGTAGGTCGATTAAGTAAAAACTTGGGTCTAATTAACATTCCCCTATATATATATATATATATATATATATGTATTTATACTGAATAACAACTAGAAACAATGTAGATTTACCACCAGAAAAGGACCAAGAGTTCTCTAGAATGGTTCACCTGCAAAACACTCACACCCAGTTCAAAAGTTAACCCAGTGAGTTAATTACTTAGTTAATTAGTTAATTAAGTGCTCAGAGTTAGCAACAAAGACCCAATTGTGCCAGAATGGTGCGGCAGGAGTCATAGATTGAAGCAGTGAAACAATGGGGTACTTCCTGTTCCCAGCTTAAGACCAAAACTGAAGTGGCAAAATTGTTCCCTTCTAGGAACCTTCGTTGAGTTCAATTCGGCCCTGCAACTTGTTCTCACGGTTGGGAAATTACGCAAGTGGGCACTGTCATCCATGACATCCCTGCAACTTAATCATCCATATATAAACCCATCCATCCATCCATCCATCCATCCATCCATCCATCCATCCATCCATCCATCCGTTTACGAAGAGTATGGCTCCCTTGTTCATCGATCGACTCATGAACCGCGCGCCCCCCATGGCCGTGGGTTGCTGCTGCTGCTGAGCATGCTTGAAGCATGCAGAGAGGGATCGAGGAAGCGAGCGAGGGAGGGCGAGAATAGTGGGGATGGATGGTTTGCAGGGTTTAGGTCACTATTTCGATCCCACGCCCGATTTCTCCATCTCCATGTATCACTCAACTGCAATTGGAGTATGCTGCCCGTCGCACTGATACCCAACTTCGTGAATTATTTACACCGTGTAAGGGGGGAGGGGGAGTAGTAACAACGCCAAGCTATTTGACGAAGAAGAAGAAGCGCAACTGACAGCTCCGTGCTGGATTCGAGGAGCGAGGAAGAAGGACAGAGCGAGAGACAGAGAGGCAAGAATTCAAGGGGGAGAGAGGCGAGTTGCGATGACAGTTGAGGGACTAAGCAGACTCCCCTCGTGAGGATCGGACGCACAACAAGTGGCCTATGATGGTTTTGTTCAGGAAGAAGCCATGCCGTGATGCCATTCTTATAGCTTGTTTTGGAGGTTGGAGGTTGGAGGTTGGAACTTGATTCTCGTTTTGATGTGTCTGCAAAGGGACTACCTCCGGAAATTAGCAACGAGGAGCTCGTGAGCGGTTGGGGTGCGGTGGGTGGGTTCCGGGGCATACGCACTGTTGAGGTAGTGATGGAATTGAGAGTTTTGAGATTTTTGGGTAATCAATCAAGCTAGGCTGTCGATTGATGGATTTTGACTCCTCCCGGACTGTTTTGTTTTGTTTTGTTTTGTTTTGTTTGTTTGTTTTTTTTTTTTTCTGGAATTGGTTTCATCGCCTCGCTGGGAGCATTAAATTTACCTTCATTTATGTCAACCTGCGATGGTTTTGAGGATTGTATCCATATGGGTTAGCATTCACTGTGGTGAGGGTCTGACCAGTTCGGTATAGTGGCTCCCGTCCTGGTTGGGGTTCTACATATTGTGCGCGGTTTGGGGCCCGGATCGTATCACGTGTTGCACGGGGGAAGCATCTGCCGAGAGAATTGGGGTTTAAGGGATCTTTCCTCCTGTGGCTTCCAGCTCGAATTCTGTGTTCGCTGGCTCAACCTGCCCGACTAGCATGTCGTCTATATCGGTGGTCCGCTTTGCTGCTCCGTACTGATCGTATCTCTCGTTTCGATCTATCTTTGTTCCTGTCTTTCCCCCTCCTCGATCCTCCCCCCAGCCGTTTGGTGCATCTCTTTCGTCCTCTCCACCTGCTCTCTTGCATCAGGATAGCGGATAAACCTCAATGAGGATCTCGGGTTAGCGGGTCTGCTGTCACCTAAGATTATAGAGGGGATAGTCGATGGTACTTTGGACTTGAGAAGACGCACTTGGCATTCTTAGATTGATTTTGAAAAGGATGAAATTGGGCATTTCAGTCTTGTGATTTTTTACTTGTCCAAGCCATATTGATTACCAGGCTGTAGTTACGGTATCAGAAGCCTTAATGGGTATAGATGCTCAGGTGCACAAGCCACTCTTTGCCTGTGAATATATCTTAATCTTGGGACATAAAGAAATCTCGCGTACAATTCGATTGTGTTAAAAGTATATGTTCTTTCAATCTACAGATTGAGGATGAGTGGCAATCTCTCTGCTGTTCCAAGCTTGCTAATTTGGTATGTTTTGGGAACCGACCACACTGTGAAAGAAGGCGAATGGGTAGGAAAGATTGATTGAATAATTAGTTCGGGTGTCTTAGCTTTGAAAAACCGGACTAGAGAGACCACATAGTATTGGAGTGATATCCTGAGATTACAAGGCCAACTGGGTAAAAGTCTTAAGGAATATTTCTTTGCTATCGTGCTAGTGGTAGCAGCTCATCAGTCGTTGAAATACAACGGTTTTCGTGTTGGTGTACGTGTCGCCTGGGTTCGTACGATGCATGTCGGATAACTTGCAGATTAGATGCTTGTGGTTTTGGAAACAATAATTATCATCCTAGTCGTTCCTGACACAATTATTGACTTAGATTTTGGGTTTTAGAGTGCAGCTGGAGCGTGGCTAGAGCATATTGATCTTTACCGGAAATATTAGTCTCATGCATAGTTGGGAGTTATAACTTTTCAAGAATGGGGAAGCACAGAGCAGACATCGATATGCCTCTGCGATGCTTTATGTTATCAATATGCCTTTCACTGATTTGGAGCCAAGTTTTAGCTGCCATCACCCTTACGGATGAGGATTGGGAGGCTGGCTTAGGCGCAGATATGTGTCCTGAAAAGACAGACATACCAGTTGACTCGGTGTTTCCGTCACGTGGTGTTTCTGCCGGTGTTGCACGCGATGGTGTTGGTGCCGGTGATGACAGAATGGTAATTGCGGAAATGAAGCAGCTGCTTAGAGAACAGTCAGCTCAGGTAGAGAAACTGAGCGATCTCATTACCCTGCTCCATCAGTCACTTCAGAAATTCCCTGACCGAATACCCCAAGTCGTTGCTCCTATCAACAGGGAGCAGAGTGTAGGTGGTGATACTAGTCAAAAGTCGACATTTGGCAACAGCCCAGACCTCGCTAATGTGAAATCCATTTACACGAGTGAGACACCCCAGAGTTCACGGTTAGGAGACGCTGCTGCTTCAGATTTGGAAAAGTCGAGAGATGTAGTCCCTGAAGTCTCAACTGCCAGGCCCCCCAAGTCACAAATAGGAGTGTCTGGGCCCGGGGGTGGAATGACAATTGCCCGTTACAAGCCAGCTTGGGCGGAGCACTTCCAGTTTGTTTCGGCTGTTAAGGTGGACGTCGACGTTTCGTGCCTGCACGTACTTCCTCACGAAGGTGATGATGGTATGAGCCGGTATGTGGCAGTAGGGGATTCAGCGGGACGTATTTACATATTTTTCATATATGGTGATTTACTTGTAGACTATGCTACTCTGTCTAAAGCCCCAGTGACTGCCATGCTTTCCTTTACACTGCGCAAAAATGAATCATGGCTGGTGACTGGCCATGCGGATGGCGCTGTGCTTGTGCATCGCATTTGGGAAATAATGCAAAGAGGTTCCCAGTCTAGTGATGAGGCTCACCAGTTAGGTCTAGAGTATGTGCACTCGCTTGTGGCTCCTTCCTATGAAGATGTAGGGAATTATGATCTGAAAAGCATTTTTGAAACGGGAGCTGAAGTCCCGCACACCGAGGAGGTACTCGAAGGCATTGGAAGCAAAAGCAAATTGATTACTCATCTGGAGATGTACAGAGTGGGCAAGATGAGGTACGTGCTGGTGGCTGACTCTACCGGCAAGATGCAAGTGTTTCGAGAAAACGGAACTCTTTTTGGAGCTGCTGATTCATCAAGTCGTCCGCTTGCGTTTCTGCGAACACCCAATACACAGCGATTGTTGTTCCTCACAAAAACTGGTGGTGGTTCTCTTGACCTGCGGACTATGACTGTGCGGAGCTGTCCCTGCGATGGACTGAATGGCTCCACTGTGGTTGCTTATGCATTCGATGCCGCAGGCCGATCTCGTGCATATGGTGTCACTGAAGAGGGCGACCTTGTGTATGTTATCCTTTCTGGAGATACGCTTCACTTTGAATGCCATGCCAGGACTACCAAGAGAAAATTAGACGTAGAAGGCCCTGTTTCCCTGCATGGTATTAAGGGCTACTTGGTCGTTGCCACGCCAAAGAATGTATTTGTTTATAACACAACCCTGCAGCTTGGTTTCAGCTATGCTAACATTCGGGGTAGTGCTGGGCCCCGACCTCTCTTTAGTGCCTCCTTGGACGATATATCCCTCTCTTTCCTTCCAACGCCTATTGCTCCAGGAAAGTGGCCCATGATGGCTTGCAATCGTGACAAGCTTATTGTGGTCGGGTTTGGTGGTGGCTACGTTGGCATATACCGATCCACTTTACCAGTTCATAAACTACCAGATTTCAATGCCAAGCTTTGGAGCAGCCCCATATTTATTTCTGTTATCCTCCTTCTAGTGGCTTGGCAATTACTCAGTCGTAAACGTGATCCAGCCCCAACGGATAATAATAATGCGGTGATGCAGATTGCATCTAGCCCTGCATCTGGGTTTGGCTACCGAGAGAATCGTGATGGTGCTGGCAGTCTCAAATCACGAAGCCGCTATGAGTCCCCTTCTCGTAGCTACACCACTAATCCTGTGGGTTATGGTCAAAGCTCTATGAATTATCGAGCAGCCTCGTCAGATCCTAGCTACTCCACACTGCGGGAGCCTCTTTTTTCGAACCAGACTGTTGGTGATTTACGGCATTGATTTTTTAAAGAAAACAATGATGTTAGTATCTTTTTCCAATATCTCTCTGCTGGTAGTGTATCGTCATGGAATGTTTGACGTGCCTAACTCTGGTAAAGACCAGAACATCATGGTCTTCGTTTTATGCATTCTTCCTTTGGTTTCTCAATCTTTTGTTGGTGGTGGTTGGTTCTACAGTCTCTCTTTTACGTCATTTTCAGAAAACATCATCTGATGTACCACGTGGCAACTATCTACATAGTATGTTTACGTGTGACGTCTGGTGGTATGGCATGAAGAGCATGAAGATGCATTTTCAAGAAATAGGACTCGAAATACTTGTTCAAAATCCTCAGCAATCAGACAGGCCGGATGAACCTTGTTCGATGGCAATTAATGGAGGCTTTTGCACACTTCGTTGGATTACAGATATGATAGGTGGGCTTTTGATCACCAGATGTGCAGACGCAAGTACTTGTGGTGTTTAAGGTACTAAGTCTTGTACTGCGAACCTATTTCTGTCCCTGCTTTAACCAGTATGTTATGCTATTTCTTTATTCTTTTTTCCTGGTTTGTTGATGGAGCATACGTTCGACCGATTCTGTATTGGTGGATGGACTTAAGCAGGTGATGATGACGTAGCAGGTGTCAGCTCAACCATTTCAATGCCAACCATCCTTATTGGGTTGTAATCAGCCAAGAGTCAGCTATGTTAGTTCGTAGTGTCGACTCTACTTGTGTGTTCCAGCTTCTGGATTGCGAAGTGAAATTTGTCATCATCTACATTAATTTTATTTAATTTCACACTAAAATCTTAAGTACCTATTTATGGTACTACAAGACAACCCTTTTATAAAAGGCTGCTTATGTTGATTCGGCCATTGATGCTTTTTCTTATTAGAGCTGGTTTAATTTCTTAGTAGAGACTTGATTGATGCAATTAGTCCAGCATTTTCAAGGGGTTGCAAGTTGTCCAGTATTGGACACTTTGCCAGCTCTTGTTCTTCCCAACAATGCAAAAACTTACACACTGCCATCAATGGTATCAGCTCATGCGGAACCACTGTCACAACCGTGAATCTGTTAGGTTTTGCCTCATCCCAGGTACAAACTAGTCTAGTCATGGTGTTGTTCTGGCTTTCAAAGGGAGCCCTAGTTGGTAGATAATCGTTTTTGGACTGACCGTGCTCTAAGCTGAGGAAACTCAATATACGCGCCTGGGCACAGCATGCCCATGTTCTTTTCTTGCTGGCCATCAATCACATGGGTTTTGCCTTAGTGTTTATAAATCCTCTGCAAAACTTAAGAGCTGGTTCCTCAGCTGTTGAAATGATCACAGAGGTTTGTTAGTACGATCCCAACGACATTGTAGCCTTGAGTAACAATCTAAGTTTTTAATGTGTACATTCAGCATAACACAGTAAGAGTTACTAACGTTGGTTAAGTCTAAAAATTATTTTGTAAAAACAAGATGAAAAGACCATCTTGTATTGTTATACTATCTATAATTTTTTTCAAATTTAGACTTTTGCGATTATTTTATAAGTATTCAAAAACACCAAGCATAGAAAGGAAATAAAAAGAAATAAAAAGGATATTTTTTTATAAAATAGTAAAATATTAAAATTATAATCAATAGGCTAACTAACAAGATTACCAAAAAGAATTTATACGAGAATCTATATTAATGACTCACTTTTATAAAAAATATATAATCTATATATTTTTAGTAGTTTTATAATATATATATATATATATATATATATATGTAATGAGTTTTATAATAAATATAGTTTTTATAATTTTAAAAATTATAAAAATTTATTTTAAAAATAAATAGAATTTATATGGTATCAACATAGAAAAAAAAACATAATATGTTCAAAAGTATCTTCCAAAAACCTTAATATAAATTGGGCCTCTCAATAAGATGTAATATTGCCTGAAAGTCTTAATATTAATAAATAATTTTTAAGAAAAATTTAGTTTTTTTTTCACTACTTATAGTTTTTGTATATTGTACAAAATATGCCGTTTTGATTAAATTATCTACCGTCACAAATATTAAGTCATGAGAATTTGTAATCAAAAGATTTGGGATGAATTCTATTTAAGGAGATAATCAAAGTTGCTTTGAAAGAAGTAGGCATTTAAAAATCCATAGGACTATTGATATAGAGTCTTTTCTCAAGAGAAAATTTTACAAGATCAAACGAATTCTTTGAAAAACTTCTACATCCAAGACCACTAAAAATTTCTTGAAATAAGCTCCAAATTTTTGTTATATCTAAAATGTCTTGTTATAAAGTCATGTTGTACTTGAAGTGCATATAATTGTTCTTGATGTTTTAGAATATATATATTCTTTATGATAATAAGAAGATTGTCCTTAAACTAATTTTTTTTTCAAGTTATTAAGACTTTTATTCCTAATATGAAGAAAAAAAAAAGAATTATAAATGTATTTGAATGAACTTCATTGAGCAAAGTCGAATCAACTAGAATTGTTGATTTTATAGTGTAAAGATGTTGTTGATTTAGTTTTAAACAACCTATTGTTGATCATATACAAAAAAAATTTCTTTTGGTGCAAGATAAGAATATCTAGATAAGAATCACTTTATAAGCATATTTATTTTCTATGCTAATATGTAATATTAAATACAAATTGTCACAAATTCATACTTTAACATGCTTGGTGACATTTTAAGATACATATTGACATAAAAAACTCAAGGTTCTTGTGATTAATTTATAGTGTGACTTAATAAGAAGTACCTTCTAATAAGTTTTTTTTATATTTAGAATAAATCTACAATATCAAAAAGATTTTTGTTGCAGATTTCATAATCAATCTTAGTTGTTAAGATTTTTTTGAATAAAAAAGATTAGGCTAAAGTCTTTCATCTATATCTTTTTGAGATAAAATTGTACATAATAAAAAAATTATATATATATATATATATATATAGATATATTGCTTAAAAACATCTACACGAAATACAATGAAAGTTAAGCCAAAAGATATTTTCAAACCTTAAAATGCTTCTTCAGCATCTTGTCTCTACTCCAATTTGTCTTTGCAAGTTAATCATGTATGTAAAGTGCCAACTTGATAAAAATTACTGATAAATTTTTTATGATAATTTAAAAAAAATTTAAAAAGTTTAATGATTATGTACCATTCTTAAAATTTTCTAATCCATAATATTTTGTACCTTCTAAGAATCTATTTGAAAGCCATTGTTTGAAATGATATATTCCAAAAATTCTACCTAAGTTATATAGAATACAAAAAAAAAATCTCAATATATAATAATACATTTCTATATTTTTTGGTAAAAAAAAAACATGTTTTTCATACTCCTCCATATTCTTAGAATAAATGAAAAAAATAAGTGATGAATACATAAAATCATTTCAAAATTCACAAAAAACATTATTTGTCAAATATTAAAAAAAAAATTGGCTATATGTAAGTAAAAAAGATATGATGTCATATTTATAATGGCCATACTTATTTTGGAATAAAATATTTTATTCAAAATTTTTATTTTTTATTTTTAATACTTATCAAATTCTAAACATATAATTCTATATATATATATATATATATATATATAGATATTAACATAAGATAAGAAAAAATTTAAGATTGAAATATATGCGGTCTATTTGAGGATTTTTTTTAACCTCAAAAAATCTTAAAATAATAAGATTGGTTGAATATTTTTATAATATTAAGTTTTATTTGACTTTTACAACCTTTTGCAATTACTTCTATTTGTATGGTTTTGGACATGGAATTTTTCGAAGATAAAATTGTCCATCTACTACTCACATATATATAGGTTTGAGTTTTTGTACTAACAATATTCTATAATACTTAACAAAATTTTCATCAAGAATACAAGTAAAGGCATTGAAATATAATAAGTTTAAAGTAAAAATAATAAACTTTGTAGATTCTAAATAGACTTGTACTAAAAAAAAATGATTTAGAAAGTAATACAAAGCCTTTATTAGATGTTGTGATAAAAAAATGTTTTTAGAAAATTCTTAATGTTGATGTATAATCTTATTTTTTAATATATTATCTTTTTTTAGAATTTACTCTTAAACTTATGATTTTGATGATTTTTAGGATAATATTAAGTAATATATTTTAACTCTCTACAATAAAGACATTATCTTTCTTGTCAACATCAATTTTTTTCTTGTGTTATAAAAGATTTGAAATATATAGCATTAATCCACATGTCTTTTATATTAATTTATATAATTGATTGGTAGAAGTATTTTCTGCAAAAATATAAAAACATTTGATTAATAAATTTTTGGAATTGATCAAATTATTCAATTTGGTTAATGAATTATTAAAATTTGAATCTAATACTATCAAATTTCTCTAAAAGAACAACCTTTCATTTCCTAGCTAGTACACTTACATAAGTTACTTGAGGTGGTGCAACTGTTGAAGAAACTTCTATAAATAAATACTCTTGATAATGATTGCCGTAGTAGATAAAATTTATGCATAGTAAGTATCAAATTTCTTATTTGTTCATAGATTTGTGCTATATCATTCTTTATTTCTTCTAAATTTTCTATACCTTTAAAGACATAATAATTTCTATACAAAAAGACAAAAAGAAATAGGGTTAATAAAATAATATTAATTTAATATAAGGTAATTTATATCTTCTAAATGACTTTGATGTTTTTAAGGAAAAAAATAAAATAAAATAAAATAATTTTTATCAAAAAAATCAAGATTTAATAATACTAATTTTAATCTTATCAAACTACTAAAGTTATCAATCTACAAAAAAAACTCAAAAGAAAAATTATTATGTATTATTAATAAAAAGAAAAAGAAAAAAAGAAAAAGAAAAAAAGAAAAAAAGAAAATAATAAGATAAATAATAGCCTTCAAATTTTCTTAAAAAACATATAATCTACCTAAAGTATTCTAACTAATTTAATTTGATTTTTATTTGTATTGCCAAATCATTTCAACTGGCTTTTAATAGTAATATCAAACTTAAAATTCTTTGATAGTGTGCACCTTTTACAACACGGTTCTTTTTTTTACAACTAAAGTTTTATCTATATTTATATAATTTATTTTTAAAATGATATATTTTTAGTTTTTTTTATAAAAAGATGTCAAATTTTGATACTATAAATTATCAATAAATCTAAAACTAATTTCTTTACCATCTAATCAATAGTGATACCATATTACATTTTTTTATTACTAAAAACTCAAAAATAAATCTTATTTATCTTAATTTATATAATTTATAGTAGCTATTATAAACTTAGATTATATATTTGTAATTAAGTAAAATTATTAGTTAGTTCTCTTGGTATTTTTGTATATATAGCATATTTATAGGTGCTTAATAGCTTCCTACTTTTTTCTAACTAATTTTTTTATAAAAAACTAGTTTGACTAATTTGTTCTAAATTATATCTTTTTTAGTTAGAATGCATTATTTTTAAAGAATATTAGGTTGTTTTTTTAATTTATAAATAAAATAAAATACAGTATGACATCTCAAAGAACAAAACATTAATAACAACAAATCAAAAATAAAAATAAATCTTTAAGAGTTTTTTTTCTAGTAATTAATATATATATATATAAGATAATTCTATAATTAAAATTAAATTTTTTATTATTTATTATTAAATATAATATAATTTAAAATCCTTTAAATACTTTTTTATATATAATTTATGAATTGGAACTTTTGTGCATCAAATCTTATCTTTTGAAATTACTTAAATTGCTACATTTTGGTTTTTGTTTAAGAATAGATATTCTCCTATAATATTTTATTTTTTTCAATAAAATATGAATATCTTATAGGTA